GATTCTTCTTGATTTCTTTCAATCTTCAACACTTTCAATCCTCAAACATGTTTTTTCCCTCCTCGTGCTGTGGTGTTCCATTTCTAGTCAAAGCGGCACGATGACGCACGGACGCACGGACGCAGCTGCTCAAGACGCTGCGTGCGGCGCGAGGACCATGCCAAGTGGTCGCCGGTTTGCACCGCCTTCTACAAGCTGCACCCGGTGATCCGCCGCGCGGTGGATGTGGTTGGCAGATGGTTCGATGTTTGCTTTGGGGTGGTTGGGGTGGTTGGAGTGGGGCGAGTTTGTTCTGAAGTGAAGTCAGACGATTGTTGCATGGTTCATTCATTCTTTGTGCAAGCTTTATAGACACTTTGGTAAAAGTGAGAAATAGATGGACACCAGTATGGACATCCCTAGAAAAAACGCAATGGTGCTTGCCGTACTACATGTCACATATGCAGAAATCTCTTCAAAACTGTCCATGTGGAGGTTCTTCCCAATGCCCCTGACTCAAGGCTTTGAGAAGGACATCGTTGGCAAAGATGCAGAAGATCTGAAGAGGCTGGATGCCAGCAGCAGCAGCTTCAATTCTACGTAGCACCAGACATTGAAACGTAACCCTGCTATTAACTTAACGTGCATTTGACAGGGTTCTTTACATCCCCCTGCTGGATTTCATCCATCGAACGACTCATGATGGCGGCTTGACCAAAGCCGGCCATCGCCGGAACCGAGCCATTTCTGGGGCCCCGGAAGCCACCCTGTCTTTTGGGGGGTATCAGACTGTTTTGTTTGCACCTTGCCTTTGCAACCTTCCTTTTCCCATCCCCTCAGCTACAAAAATAGATTCTTGCCTTCCGTTGCACCCTCCGCTTTCGCCTTGCACTCCGCCTCGTGCGCCGCTCTAACTCCGCCGGGTGCCTCCCTCTCCACACATCTCCGACCACCACTCCAACTCGAGTTCATCCACCGCGTGAGGCTATACCATGCTATACCTGGATCTTCCAAGGATCTGTGCCGACTTTCATGCCGAAACTTCACCTCCACACCACTCCGGCCAGCTCCTTCGGGCCTCATCAAAACGCTGGAGACCCCGTCATGGAGACCCTCTCGGATCTCATCGCTACGACCTCCGATTGCAGCGCCGCGCCGGCCCTCTCGACAGCCCCATCGACACTGCCAGGTGTTGTCCCATGGAGGTCTTCGACGTGGAAGACGTCCCGCAGCTCGGGAAGCGCGCCGTGGTGCGGCCCGGGACACCCAGCGGGATTGGGGGGGTGGCGACTGGCGAATCGAGGTGTGGCCGTCGGCGTGGTGGGTGACTGTACGAATGGGGATTGCGGGTGGGTTGGAGGTCGAGAAGACGGTTCAAAAGTGGTTTGGACCGGACTGGATGTAGATGGGAGGGACTATGGGAGGGTTCTAGAATTTTCTAGAGTTCTAGATGGCCTCCAGATCTTCCGTTTCCATGCCTGTTGGTTTGGTGACGGGCATGTGCTTGAGGATGGTTGGGGTGGGGCCCCAGATTTCAAGCTGATATTGACCTCCCCGACATCAACTCATCGTAGTATTGCAAACATATTGTATACAAGCAAGAAGTGGAAACTCTCCGCTTCTTCTTGGCAATGTTCCAGTGACAGATTTGTGATCTCGAAGGCAATTTGGATATCGATAAGCTTCTCCCGCAAAATACTGGTGCTCGATAGGACTCTTCAAGACTACCCAAAGACTTAATGTATGGAATGATAGACAGCTAGATAGATCCATAATATATGGTAGATAGATAGAGAATACTGTAGATCTATTGATCTGATATAGAATGATACAGATATTCTTTACATCGCTGCGGTTCCAGGGGTAAATGGTGGTACATGGTGTGATTGGCAACTTAGTAGCAAGAACTCCCTTTTCAAAGGCTTTGTCAAGAGATGTTAAGAGATTGATTCCTGGTGTTTAGATTTTACATCAGATAGAAACTGAATACATTGAATAAGAATCTGCACGTATGTTTTGCATTGTTTTGCATGTTATCTAAAAAATAAGAGGAAAGCACACGAACTCCAGTCGATCATCAAACTGTTGAGTTGACCATGCAGCGGTGGAATAAACGCTTCTCCACAACGGTTGACCAAACACGTCAGCAGTTGCCCGGTTCGATGCCGTTCAGCTGCTGATCCATTCGAGCAACCGTTGTGGAGAAAAGTTTGTCCCCACGTGTTGTGTTTGTGGGCTTCGGCTTCAACATCTTCTCAGCTGAGTTTCTTCCGAGCCGAAGAATGGGAAGGAAACCCAACACACAGCATTTAAATTTCATTGTACCAATACACGACTTGATAGACATGAAGACGAAGCTGTGTTCCCTGATCTTGTAGGAACGCGCGGAACTGCACTACGTGCCGCGAGTGCTTGGAGACGTTCCCGGGACAGGCTGGAGAGCTTGCACTTCGCAGATGGCCTTGTTGATCGTTTTGTTGTGCTTGTACTTGTGTGCTTGAGGGTGAGGTTGTTGAAGCTGAACGGGTGGAATTCAGCTTCAAGCAGTTTTTGGGTTTTCTCTCACCACAATCTCGCTACCCGCCAGGAGAAAGGGCTCTTCCTTGGGAAAGCCAAGAATCACTTCATCTTTTCCATCGAAAGCGTCGGGCAGATCCCGGTCACTTGCTTTGTGGAATTGGGGTCGCGGTGGGCATGATCCTGTTTGTTGTTTGATCCTCTCTGTGAGGGTGATGCTATGAAAATTAACCTGTTAGTCTTTAAATATTGTATTTCAGGGTGAGTTCTTGCAAGGTGATAAGACACTAAGCAAAAATGCAAACAGCAGTTGATCTTGATAAATAGTTGAAGATGGTGATTGTGAAGGTTGTTGTGCATTGTGAGCTGAAATCTGTGAACCATACTGCCCACAGGACGACAAGGACCTGCTACAGAGATGAACCGTGTTGCCACCCTGTCATGTGTGCGGCCATATTGTTGTTTTTGTTTCTCGAAAATCTGGATCATATCCGGAGACCTGCTCATCCACACATGGGAAGACTGCAGTTTTTTGGCATGTTATGTCCCAACACCATTTAAGGTGAACAGCCTCGACCTGCCCCGCTTCAGCTTTGTGCCAGATCGCCGCTCCTGGTGTGACCCAATTCAAACGACCCAGGCACCAGAGCTCTTTGAGCGAGCCTTGATCAAGTTCAAGGCGCACCTGGCGCATGACCGGGATGTCCCGATGACGGACCAGGGCAGATGAACTCAGTTGTTTCTTTTCAAACACAGATTACATCACATGATTTCAGTGTTACATTACTGTAAGTTTGTTTACATATATCACGTGTTGTTTTTTAATAACAGAACCTTGGTCATCTTGGATGTTGTTCCTTCCATCTACCCATCAAAGTTTTCCAGGAGAATCTACGTTGTAAAAGGCAGAACACAATGTCATTGTTTGCCGTGGTTGTTCAGTTTTGGGCATCTGCGAGGTTTGTCCTCCCATGGCCAAAAACACTTAACTGGTGTCTTTGCCAACATATCTCCATCATCTATGACCCATCGACCCGCCTTTCCTCATCTAACCAAGCAGGACAAAAAGACAAACTAGAAACACATATAAAAAAGCTGTTTTGACATGTTCCACCATATGTTCCACGCACCCCTCTCTTTCTGACCCAACGAAGCCTCCGCCTACTCATCGCCGACGCGGCCCGGCGGATCAGCCCAGCGGCGCCAGGAGAGGTGTCAAACGGCCAAGGAAAACGTGTCGCACCGGAGAGGCGCGCAGCAAAGCGGTCACCAGTGATGCGTTCGTGTCGCATGTTGCACATTGTTGCACGGTCCAAGCCGGGGTTGCGAGGTGGTTTCCTTGGGGGGCAAATGGTTTCATTCGTGTTGTTCTTGTTTCTTTTTGCGTGGTGTCCATTGTTTTCTTGCTGATATCCTTGTTGGACATTATTTTGTTTCTTTAAGGACATGTGGGTTCAACATGTTTGCTCTCATATGGTAGCCTTTGTTTTGAAACTCTAGTAAAGCCAAAACAAGGAAGTTGTGTCACTTGTTTTTGTTTTGATGTTGGCCACCAGTTCCAAGGAAGTAGTCAGCTAGCTACATGATGAAGGGCTTGTGTGTAGGTGCGGGTTTGACTGCTTCATTGGGGACAAGGAGATTCCCAACCCCCTTCAGGAGCATCCAGCTTTCGGTGACTGAGACCTGCGTCAGGTGCTTTTGGGGTAATAGTCACATCTTCCTTTTGATCCCTGTCCGGAACACCGATCCTCCAGCTGCTTCGGCCAGCCGTCCCCGCCTGTCACGCAGGAGCAGCGACAAAGTGAGACCTGCGCAGAGTGCGACGGAGAAAGCGACGTTAGAGTGCGTCCTTTTGGACCAAAAGTGCGAAGGGTGCTGTGATGCCAAGGGTCCTGGGTACTGCCCGAGGTGGAGAGACCTTATGGGATTCCATATGGGGACGTATCAGATGGGCTAAGAAGGCTGTTCAACCTTTGTAGGTGCTCAGAGTGGTGCTCAGAATCCATGCGCATGCGAATGCTGCTTGAGGCAAACATGACATGCGAACGGCTCTTAGCATTCTTCTGGCTTGAACGGCTCGTGAAGCTTGAAGACGTGAAAGCTTTCGCAAGTGGTCGCAGCGAAGTCGAGAACATGCTGGGAAGTTTCTACACTGTAGCCGAGACCTCACGATCCAATGTCTTTGCGAATGCAGTCGATCAAGGTTTGGCACACTCCACACTGGAAAAGGACATCGCTGAATTACGTCACTACGCCCGTGCGGGTTGTTTGGAGCTTGGATGCAATCATTCCACTAAACCCTGACAGTATAGTTAACGTCATACAATAGGTCGGTCATCCAGTACGTAGGTTGGTTCACCTCCTGCAAGCTCACCGGACAGGCTGGACCTTGGAGCCACGTTGGCTGAAAATCCCACCACCCATGACCTATGGCATCTTGCAAACATTCCTTCGAACGGTTTCGCCTTCGAGACGCCCACGCCCGGCGTGAGTGAGCCCATGCCATGTGGGCGATGCGGTGGAGGGTCCCCTGGAGGCTTGGCCGGTCATTTCTGTTGAGAGATCTGCAACCTGTTGAGGTCCACGATGTGTCTAGCCCTGATGAACAGATTGACACCCTCTCCACAAATCCTAACAAGTCATTTCAACCTGGTCCTTTGCCTCCTTGATGGAGCAAAATGAGGTGCAACTATAACCTGTGCCTCCTTAGTCACAGTAGGCCACTAGTGATGTCCACGACGTTGACACCTCATCACCAGCTTTGACCCCATGGACACCTCATCACCTGTACCACCACAGCATCGATGTCCGCACATCGACGTTGCACAGCGAAGGGACGTCATATGTCTCCAAGGTGATGCCCCAAAAAAGACTCACCCATCTCTCTTCGTGGTTGAAAAGAGGGGCTGATGACTTATGAATACTTATGAATCTATTTTCAGGATAGTTTTATGCCGCTTCCTTGATACCCAGTCAGTGGATGACCTTTCACCCTTTTGAAAGATATCTTGATTCTTCAGGGAAACTAAAGGAGCCCCCAACACGAGGCGCTTCCATTTCAGCAGCGTGCCGCAGAAGCTCAAAGACAGCTACAAGGCGCAGGCCACTCCGCCGCCTGCGCGGCGGGCGGTGTCTAGTGGGGCGTTCCTAGTGGCGACGACCGAACGTGAAGGTTTGGCAAAGCTGCAAAACTGGGGCCATCATTGAGATAAGCAGGCCTCAAGAACTTGGAGAATTGAGAATTCCTTGAAATGTGGAATACTGAAAGATCCTAAAGACATATTTCGATAAAAGCAGCCTCCCAGCTAGATTCTTAATATACAAAGCCTTAGATCTCAACGTCACCACCCTCCAACCAGTGCAGCACCTGTGAACCCCAAGAAAGAGTTGGGATACTGTATGTGATCCATTCCTGTACTAGTAGCAGGTAGATGTGCAAAATTTTGTTTGCAGCGGAGGGCTTGCTTCGTCAACCGTTGATGGAGGCTTGGTTTTCAAGGAGGTGAGACCTGTACTTAACCACGCTTTGCTGTCCTTAACCCCGACTAAGTGTTCCAAACCACGCTGTACCTTTTCTCTTACTATAAGTCTTTTCACTTGCAGCATCCTGGAGCCGTTTTCTCCTTCCCCGGAGCTGTTCCGTCAGCTGCTCAGACGACTCGCGAGAGGTGGAGGCCGGTGGATTGGAGAAGGACGGGCTCCAAGAACGTGTGGTGGGCTACCTCTCCCAAGCTCTGGAGAAGGCCACGCTCCGCGCTCTCAGTGGCCATTTGAAGGGAAATAGCTCCGGTGGCTCCGGAGGGCTGTTCTGTTGGTTGAAAGGCGCCCATATTATGATTATTATGGGGTTACGTGTGATGCGAGAAGATGGGGTGGTCAATAGCCACTGGCCAGTTGGAATTCATATTTGGTTGACGGGTTTCCTGATTTGCACTTTTGAAGTCGTGCAGCCTGCAGCTTTCCAAGTCGGGGTCTCATTGTAGAATGTGGACTAAACATGACGAGACTGAAACTGCAAGCAAAGGTATTGGAAGATGACAATATGAAGACAATATGAAATATGATGAAGTCAGTATGTGGAGATCTTATGAGATCTTATCAATCTTCTATGTTTCAGGTTTCAGGTGTCGAAAGGTATGTTGGTGTCAATGAGTAGTATAGGAATCACCAACCGCCTCAGGCCTTGCAACGGGAGCAACACCAGCCGAGCAACACCCGTGATGGCTCGGGGCAGGATGCCGGAGCCGTGCAGGTCATGCGGTGGATGGATCAAAGGCAGACAGGTGTCACAGGCCAATGACTCTGAACGGAGTATCACCGCACGCAGTGACTCTGAAGGTGTCCAGCCTGGACGGCAAAAATCCTTGATTGGGAGCCACCTCCAAAGTGGTGATGTGATTGTGAGCAACCTCCCGCACTTGTTGTGGAATTCGATGTCCTATTTTTTTCAGTAGGGCCCCACATGTTTTTCCCTCCATGATTCAGCGAGCCAGAAGCGTGAGGAGCTCGGCTTTGCAGGGCATCCTGGCTGGGTCTTGCCACTGGAGACCATAGGCAGGGGCTGCATGGAGACCGACACAGAAAGCTAGTGGAGTTGAAGCCTGGGTTGAAGCGTAGGGGTCAAGAGAAACATCGAGAAACGACCAAGCCAAGCTATACCAAGCTCGAAAAGAGACAGCCTACAAGATGATTGAAATTGGATCGCATCCCAGATGACCAACAATACCTCATAATCCGTTGCATGCATGCGAACCTGCCCTTGCCAACTTGCCAACCTTTCTTGAACATGCCAAGCATTGCCAAGCTGTTTCAACGAGACTTAACGTCCCAGAAGACGCCGAGGCAGCTCGACCACCACGGACCGAGCCGACGGACCGTCGGCTCCCCGCATCCGAGACCAGGCGGCTCCTCCGGCAGCGGCGCGGCGGAGGAGCACCGGCGCGCCGCGGAGTGGACGGCGAAGTTGGCCGCGGAGAACCGGCGGCGCCTGGCGAAAGGCGTCCGAAGGGAGGGGGTGGCTGATGGTGGCTGGAGGGTGGTTTTTAGGGCCAAAACAAAGGGCCCAGAAATCGGTGGCGATAACGGTGAATCCACAGGCACCAAATTCACGGGCTGCGTTGGCGTGTTTTTTTGTTCTATTGCGAACCATTTTGAAGTGGTTTTCTTGAACAAGTGTTGGGAATCTTACTATAGGAATGGCGAACGGAGGGTGGAAGTTGGGGTTTTTGAGTGGTTCGCACAGAGAGGTTCTTCGTACTACAATGTGGTGGATGATAGAGACATTCGAATCCATTCCAGTTCTCCATTTGGCTCCCAACTACGGTGGCTTCACAATACATAGTTGGGATGGCACCAAACCCCAAACTTGGGGATTGCCCCATCTCCTCTCCACCCACCATATTCAAAGAACAAGAGGCCCAAAGGCATAGAGGATCCAGGCCGAATATCGGACCGGATGAGACCACACGATCCACCCCTTGGGCGGGTCCGTCCTGCGGGCCTTTCCCTGCAACGCCAATGCCTTTGACCAGGCACGCAGGCCAAAGTCTTGCCTGCAGCATCCAGGCTGCAAGTTGGCACTGGAGGGTTTCGAGAGTTAGGGACCTGAAATGCCGAAAGGGCGTCGAAGCACTGAAGCACCGCCGCCCTCTTCTCCGTCGCCGGTATATGTATACTCTATGGGCTATACCCATGCAGTGGTCAGTTAAGGGATCGGACCATCCACCTGAAAGGACCGGGACGGTGTCGTTTTCGGTTCACTCCCGTGATTTTGCAGATTCCTTACAGTGTCTACAAACGATTGTACTCAGGCCACCGGCATCTCCCAAGTGGAGACTCAGCGCACAGCTGAGCCAGCCTCTGAAGCTCAGGAAGCCGGGAAACGTCTTCCTGACGATCGATACACAAACTCCTGCTCTGCTTGAGATGCCCTTGCCTGGATTCTCATCCAATTATAACTATATATATATATTAACTGCTTTGTTATCCTGGCTCAAATCCCATGTAGTGGATAGTGTATTCGAGTTATTTGATGATTGATTATATTTGATGTTAGGACTATTTGACAAGACCCCTTGTCTTAAGACACGTGAGCTCACATGGCATGGCCACCTTGCTGCTGCGAGGAGGCTCCGCCCAAGCGTGAACCCTTGAAGAGCAGCGTTTACCTACATGGCAGGAGAGCTTAGTTCTGATCAAGTCCAGAAGATTTTAGATATTGATCAGAGAAGATACCACCTCATGGTGGAGCAATTCCTTAAAGACTGCTGGCTTAGATCGCCCGTATGATCGGCCGTCTCTCTCAAGCAGCGGGAATTCCTGCAGGTATCACACTTACGAAAACTAACATGGACCCTGAAAACTGAAAACTGCTAGTTTGGTAGAGGAAAACCATCTTCCACGGGCCAATCCCATGGTACATGTGAGTTTTCGGGAGGCTAAGGGATATCGCTAAGGATTGAGTCCATCCAACAACTCCGGAGCTGGACCGACCACATCTTTGGTGCTGCACCGGCGCTCTGAGGACCCGTGGGCACCGGCAAGACGATGCTGATGAATCTCTTCCACGATCACTCGCAGCAGGCGATTGGGATGGCGATCCGCGGAGGCGATCCGCGGATTGGGAAGCGGATTCTCCATCGGCCGCGACAAACGATCAGTATGGTGGTTGGGGCTCTGTTGGGGTGCGGCCTGGTGGGTGAATTGATGGGAAGGGAAAAATAAGGAAACATCACTGAAGCACACCCAAAAAAAGGTGTAATATGGTACCTGGCATTGACCTCTCTATGCTTTTCAAAAAGTCGTCATTGGAGGGGCCAACACAATACACGGCAGTGGCTTTGGCGGATAGAGAGCCAGTATCACCAGTTGATGTCGGTTGCATATCTGATGCCACGAGCAGGACAGCAGGACTAATAAGTTTATGATTAATGATGAGTCTGATAACTCGGAACTGGTCCACCGAAGCTCTTTGGTCTCAACGTGGGATAGTTAGTCTTCTTTTGATCAGCTCATCTGGAGACCTTTACAAGTGCAAGACGCTGATAGCAGACGTCAGCCAATGGGCTGAGTGATACGGCACACGGACTTGGGAAGAGCTAACCATAATTAAACTTCAGGTGGTGCAGGATTGACCCTATCTATCAAGAATATGGCTTTGTTGAGATGCCTGCCAAGCGCTTCTTTGCTGCAGCTCAACACTTTGGGACCTGCCTTGCTGCAGGCGGGGTTGAGAACATCTCGTCAACACTTCTACGAGTTCATGATCAGATCTGCCCTCAGCACCATACCGCAGATGTTGTTTTTGAACATTGTGGGAACCCCCGGCAAGCTTGGATCCTCTTTGGAGTGCACCCCAGAATGTATCAGCCAGCATGCCAGCATAGAGGTTAAGGGGCATTGTTCATCACCATCCATTCTTCCACTTTTTCACTTGGAGCCCCTCAACTTCGGATTATTTTTGGGGGGGGAAGAGATTAGCAGGAGGTGTGAAACCTGGATCCGATCGCCTTTGCCACCGAGGCTTACACCAGCAGATCCAAAAGGATGCGGCTGAACGACCGGTTGAGGCAGACCTTGGGAGAAATCCAGGACAGGCAGACCGAGTGACTTGTTTGGTTTCTTCTTGTTCAGATCTTTTAGAGTTTTGGTTGGAGCAATGGGGCACATGGGGCCAATATGAATTGGCTTCCTTCCTTGTAGTTGTTTGGTCAGGGTGTTTCCTTTGTTTCCTTGATTTTGTTTGTCCACTCTTGTTGCATGATCTATGATAATTATAAACTATATTGGACGGACTTGCTCAGTCACTTAGATACTTTTGGGATGGCCTCTATTGGCCACCGTTTTGCATCGATGCACGCCACGAGGTGGCGGCCAATCGTTGGGCCGACGACCTCGACGTGCTGTGCTTCGACGAGTTTCAAATCACCGACATCCAGGACGGGCACAGCGGTCGAAGCACGGGCGTTTGGGCAGATGCGGGCTGGTATGGCATACGTCATGGGTTGTGAGGATGAAGACAAGGATGGAGGGGAGGTGAAATTGAAAGGAGAGAAAGGGTGCTGAAAGTAAGCTACTGTAAGAGTATGTGAATGAAGGATGTTGGGGTGGTGCTTTCAATGCGTTTGAATCTTCATCTTTGTGAACGCCGTAGGGACTAGCCCTTTTGCATTCTTTAGCCATTTGGTCCTGCACTGAGGGTCTCCTCCCCGCCACAGCTTGGGGCAGGATGCCGTGATCTTGCCACGTCTCTTTGAGGCGCAATGGGACAAGCTGATATGCTTCTACTGTTCTGGTCGGAAGCTTGCGGTGAAATTACCCAGGAAACTTAGTGGAAACCAAAGGGATGGTATGATACCAGTTCAATCCGTTCTCAGTTGTCGTGTAGGGTTTCGGTTTAAGTTTCTGTCAACAGATGCTCTTTGTGACATTGTTGTTCAGAAAAGATGCTTGGGAATTCCAGAGATTGCTTTGTTTGAAATGGAAGTCAGTGTTTGGCACCAGGCAGCCCCAAGTCACCAGGAGGGCCCCATCAGCTCCTCTCACTTGATCTCAGTCCCAATGATTTCGGTGATTCTTCCTTCGGGAGGTCCTCTTCCTTCGTGGAGTCACGGTGGCTGGGACGCCCAGCATTGATTCGCTTTGCTCCTTGGGACTCGATACTCAACTCCTCACAGTCACTCGGTGGAAGTGGTCCAAGTGCGCAGCCCGGAAATATCGATGAAGATCGGTTGGGGGGCCAATGTGCGCTTTTCGGAGCTGTGTGGCACTGGTGATGTTTGGGACGATGTTCGGATGATCAGCCGGCAACACCAGCTTTCACCTCACGCTGTATTTGTCCAGGTCAAGTGTCAACTTGACAGGTAATTAAAGAGATTTAACGCACACGCAGAAGTGGCAGAGGGGTACAGGCAAGATCCACTTCCATCTTCGGGCTTCAAAGCTCCGTGCTACGTACTGAAGCTTTTTGAGGACCTATTCACCTACAACTCAACTGGCCCGAGCACCGCACCACCCGCTGGGCCAGCGCCATGGAAGCTGCGGGCCCTCGGAGGTCTTGTAACCAGGCGATCGTGCAGCGTGCAGAGGAGGAAGCGGTGGACGAGCCGCAGTGGTCAGATGATAGCCTCTTAGATGGCATGGATGGACACATATGGGGCATGCGTACACGTATATATGATATATGGGTATTATATAGTGGGTATGCATTAACTAAGAATAGGAAGACCCCCAAGGACCACTGGGAAGACCAAGAAGTACACTTATGTACCAGGACCCATAGGGAGGTCTCCCTATTTCAATACACACCACTCTCCCTCCACGATCGGAGGCGGACCCAGGAAACAAGGGCTAGTTTTCCAGAGATCCAGCATCCATGCTATTGGAGCGTGAGTGATCTGCACAGAAGTTCGGGACACAGGACCGTTTGGTGAGGGGCTCGTCGGCGGGGGAGGCAGTGGGGTGGGGGTTCTCGCAAATTACATAACTCCACTGATTTGACATATTTAAAAAGAATGCCCCTCGCGAGCCTTTCCAGATGTCCTGTGCCCAAGCTTTTGTCATCCACCCTCTTTCTGAGGTGATGTGTCTGAATCCGAGCTGGCGAATGTGGTCATGGAGATGCAAGAAGTTACGAAGAGCATGCCCTGCCCTGAACGGCCTGGAGCGGTGCCGAAAATTGGGGCGGTGCCGGCACGAGCCATGCCTCGACAACGCGGGACGCAGCTAGAGGAGCTGCATGTGGTGCTGGTGATTGATGCCAGTCTTAGCAACTTGAAATTCGGTCAGGGCCAGGGCCAGGTCAGGGTCCTGTGAAGTCTAAACATGCTCAATCATGCTCACATGATCTCAAATGGCTCATATTCAGATTAATCTGTTTGAGGTGAACGAATTTGTCCTCCAGGAAATGTTGATCCAGACCTATCGAATCACATAGCTTTTTGTTTTAACCTATTGTTGAAGGGCATACCATCAACAAGACTTACTATAACATATTGCATGATTTGGTGCCCGAAGCACTATCATTTGCGGGTCTGCTTCCCGCATGCTGCTCCTCAAGGAAGATCGTGCTCAATACCTGAGAAAGCCCTGAGAATACCTAATAGCAACCATCGCTCATCGCTCATCGGACGGTCCATGGAGTCCAGGGGTGCAGTCCATGTCATTGTTCTGTAAGTTTATTGACCTGGCTAGTGGACAAGGCCCACATACAGCACAACAATGGTCAAACAAAGGTGTGATTAGGTTTGATCCAACTGAGGCATGGGAATTGAAGATGCAGAACTTCTGATGGCTCGCAAAGGTTCTGATGTGCAGCTGCCGACCGCAGTGCGCAGATTGATGCAGTCTTCCACTCCTGCGAATGTTTCTTCGAAGCTTGCCAAGCTGCTAGTGGCGCAGACGACCGCTTCAGCTTGGTGGGGCAATTTGAAACGCACGATCAAAGTCAGTGCAGATTTGCAAGAGGGAGTCTTGATGTTTCGTTTTGAGTACAGTAACTCGTTAGTTGTTTTGACCCTGCAGGTTGTCTTCAATAGTCAATCTCAAATCATTTTTGAGAGACTGTTGAAGAAGGCTGCAGCATCAGCGATCAAGAAGATCGGCAAAAAGGTGAACCCTAAGAGTGAGAACCTTTCACACATTTCAGAACTGCACAGTTACTTTTGCTTTATTTTTGGTGTGATTCTTGAGTTCGTGTCCCCGCCCCACCCGGTAAGTTCCTCCATTGAAGCACCGATGGTGACCAGTGTTTGCCACAAGGACCAAATTTCAAACAGCTTTTCAAGCTGTGTGCAGACTTCTTGGCAGCAGTGCAATGTCCGAGGATGTAAGGGTGGTTTTCCTCTCAGATGGGAAGCCTTTTGAGAAGCACAGTGTCCCAACACTCTTCGAGAAGCAGCTTTTGCAGAAACAACATGCTCGAAGTTTTGAACTTCATGCCGTCGCCTTTGGCTCTCAATCTGATCACTGGCATCATTTGCAGTGGTTGGCCGGAGTCACAGGAGGGACTTTTCAAACGTCATCTTTGGACCAGCTGCAGCTGAGGGAGGCCTTTACTTCCATTGCTGCTACCATCACCGCAACAGACACATCCAGCGAGAAATCTACCACCAGTGGCGTTCCATTGAGAGCAGCTGCCTTGGAAATGCCCTTTGATCCATTGTATCATGATGTCAAATGCAAGCGAACATGTAAGTTGATCCAGCATTTACACAAGAGGAAATCTCGGTGGAAGTACGTGGATGAAGAGGTTGTGCTCGATCAGGAAGTGGCAGTGACAATCCAGGCGAAACCCTTCAGCTACGGAGGAATGCGCCTGGTTTTCGATATGTGGGATGCATCAGAGAAAAACAGGCGTCATCCAATGGTGGCTAAGCGCTTGATTCTGAAGCCACATGCAGACAAGGAAGAGATGCTTCATTTCTGTCGCTGCACAAGTATCGCAATTGGGCTCCGGGAAAGCTTCCTGAAAGCTTTGGCTAGGGTTGGTGCGCCGATCAAGATTTGGTTTGTTCCCTGCTATTTGTATGAGTATACGTTCGGAGCTGGAACCTTCTATTTTGTGGGCGAGCAAAAGCTAGAAGGACATTTCGTGAAGTTCAACGGGAACAACGGATACGTGAACGAAGACACCAAATTGGAGGTCGAGAGTGAAATTCTACAAGCCTTAAGCCACTACAGCTATGTCAAAAGCAAGGGTGCCATTTTGGCGGTCGACCTCCAGGGTATCATCGACAATGGCAATCTTCTCCTGACAGATCCGCAGCTTCATTCCAGAAGCAAGAAGCTCCTTGCCACACAGAATGTTAACATGTGCATTTTTTTCGACAAGACCGCAGGCATAGAGGTTGTTCTTCCGATGTTCTTGGTACAGGAATCTCCGATTTGACAGCCTTGTCACTAGTAAAAGAACGGGAAATACAAGTCTTTGAGTATGAAAATTGAACTCTTTGAATTCTTGGCTTCGCTTTCTTGAGGTATGGCAGAGGAGATCTTGGCTTGGAAGGCTTCAAGCTCTTCTTTGAGAGCCATAGATGTGGGCCAACCTGTGAGAAGCTAAAGCTCAGCGGACAACAGTCTGATCTCTTGCGGGAGCTCCAGCTTGAAAGGGATCGACGATGCCAGGCCCTGGTTGAATGCACAAGGGAAGCGACTGATAAAGCAAACTAGAATCAGAATGTGGCTGACATTTTTGCCAGCATCCCAGAGGTACATGATCCTCTCGTTGTCAGACAAACTAATTGGGTCAGTAAAGTCACTCAAGGCGAATTTTAGCCAGTTCAAGAACATGACACTGTAAGGATGAAATCATACCCTTAGCGCATGAGGGATGCACTACTAGACTACTAGCATTTAGCTGGTGAATGCTCAGGGCGCTTTGCTCTCAGTGTTTTGGCTATTGCCACTCTAACTGGCTATCCCGCCCTGGGAGGTTTGCATGAGCGCAGCTGCCAAAACTGCCCCTTGTCCAACCTCATGAGAAGTCAAGAAGAGCAGTTGGGCTCTTTGAAGGTGTCCCACAAGAATGCCCCCTTCAAAGGTGCAGTTCTCGAGAGGGAGGCGTTTGCTCAGCACTCACCGAAGCGTGGGTCATGCACCCGGCTGTGGGGAGACTGGCACCAGAAAACCGACTGGTTGACCTACCTGAAGGTTTTTCGCTACATGGGCTCCAGATTCTGATGCATCCCCACATAACCAAAAAGGGACAGCCAATGCTGAATCAAGGCATCTTCTTCGGTACGTGTTTTCTCCACTCCCAAACTCCACTGGCCCAACCTGTTTTGTTTCGATGGCTCTGTGAGCAAGTAGGGTATAGCCGGTATAGCTGACAGGTTTGACTTGAAGATCGGGATTGCCCCAACAACCAGTCGTGGGAAAACCTGGCCAAGGTGCTGGGCCACAGGATGACGCTCACTCCCTATTGAGTGTTGCAGTTTTCAGAGTGTGAGAGCGCAATGAACGGACCACGGATGTTTGTGCTCTTCAAGCGGTATCCTGGTGTCCTCACCCATTTGCTGAGAGCTTACCAACGTAATATCAATTTAATGTTATGCAGTCTTTGGTTGACCACTGCCAAAGATTGAATTGATAAATGGTTGGGGATGGACTTGGGGCCTCACTAAATTTAGCTGGTTGTGTGTTCAGTACTTTCCAGAGTTCTTCTCTTCTATGAGCTGTAGTGTCCTTCACCCTGAGGTCTTGGTGCCATGTGGGCATTCGGCCATTTGCCGAAGCTGCGCTGTGAAACTCATGGAATCCAACAGTGGGTTATGCCCCCTGTGCCGGAAGACCTTCACAGGTTGGCGTGAAGGTGTTTACAGCAGCTTGGACTTCTTCAGATTCTCAAACATGGCTTCATGCAGGCTCACCGGCCCTGCTTCGGACTTCGGGTATGTATGATTCTGGACGGGAACAGCTGAGCCCCCGATGGGACAAAGAGGCAAGAACATTGACTTTCTCGAGTTCATTCTCAGTTTGTATGGAGGAGCAATTAACATCATCCCGCAAGTGCTTGTATCTCAATGCACCAGGACTTCCTGAGACCTGCGCAAGAGGAAATACATGCTTTCACCATCTTTCACCTTCCACCTCTACCTCTATCGCCTCGGGGGAAATTGCACGAGACAAGCGTTCTTGATGGTAGAGTTCATAGCATGTCCACTGCTTATGGCTGCCTGCCACATGTTCTTCCTCTTGTCTGCCAAGGTAGCACCTTTGTGGCGCCGGAACGGGTGAGGCGTTAATTGCCCGAGATTTGGGTGTGTCACGACGTGCCTCGAAGCAAACATGCCCAGTTTTGAGAGAAACATTTGGATTCCAGAGATGGTCAATCGACCGTGACTGTCTTTTGAACAGCTGCCTTCTTTGGGATCGACGCTGGAGAAGCTTGTGGGGTCGCAAGACTCCTCCAGCTGCATTCCTGCAAGCTGACATGCCTTTGGAAGTGCCTTTGGAGCACTACAGCAGATATTGGCAGGTTATGTCAGAAGTCATTGTCAATTCAGTGTAAGGACAGACAAGTGGTTTCCCGTTCTGTTGTAGACTGTGCCAGACTTTGCCCATCAACCGATAGGGTCTGGAGGAATTGGTCCTCACAACCTTCTAAGATGTTGCACAAATTTGAGCTTTGCAGAATCACTGGGATTTTCTGAATTGTCACTTGGGCGAATGATCTTCACCGGTTGTGTTCAGCACAATATAGAAAGATCATGAAAGAAAGGTAGTCGATGTTGTCCAATGTTTGCGTCAGCTGACGGGAATGTATCTTCCAGATCCAACACATTATGAGACCATGTACAGCATTGTTTGAGAGATCCATTGCGCGAGGTCCACCTGAGACCAACAAATCTATGGAACGGCCGTGGGTTTGGCTCATCAGCGCCACTCAAATCCAAAGAATCCACTTGTTTTGCTCAGAATGTGCTGTCAATATTGGACACCTATGATTGAATATGATTGCTAAGCCATACGAAGATCCACACGCTGCGTCTTTTCAGTACTGCAGCTCTCATTTGCGTGTCAAGGCAGTGAGACTGCTCAACGCTGAGAAGAAGTTTGGCAAAAGAACCGATCTTCTTGCATCTGGCTGTGGGTCAACCCCCCGGAATTTTAATCCTGGGTAGGTTGAACATCTTGGTAGACCATTCAGTTCATGTTCAATGGTCAACCCTGTCTTCCTCCTGTTTTGACCCACTGCCAATTGGCAAAATAAAGTTCTCACTTTGCCAGGGCCCATTCACTTTGCTATTCAAACACAGTCTTCGCACTGTCCAGGCGGTCCAGGTGTTCTGAGCCACTTCTAGATTACACCACCACTGGTGTTGCACCAGTCCATCTGCACCGGCTACACGTTGCACCGTTGGGAGTGGCCTCCTGGGTCAATCTGCGCGTGCCAAAGGGAGTGGCTGCCTGGGGTCATCTTGGGGTCACGGTGATCTCTGTGAAGATCGCTCCAAACGCGAGGTGATGACCTCCAACACGGCGCCGCAGCTGCTCTATACCGGTGCCTCGGTCGAGAGGGCGGAGACGGGGTCCTTGAGGACGCGACCGCAAGATGGCAAGATGGACAACTTGGTGGTTTCAAATATATCTCCATGTTCAAACTTTACTTGGGATGATGGAGTTGTTTGAAATTCAACGCAATATTGAAATGCAATGTTTGAAATGCAATATTTACTTGGTTGAATAGCAATAGTTGAACGCAATGGGCAAAGACTAACTTATGTTTCGTTCCTGAGGTGGTCAACCACCCGCCAGTGGTCAACCACCCGAGTGGACCAGTGGGTGTGTTGGAACTCCAGAACTCCAGAACTCCCACGACATCCGGATGGATTTCTGTTCGACAGTATGACGCCCGGATTGACTTACCGGGGGGGCGTAGCGATGATCCAACGACATGGAGGCCTGAGATGGCCTAAATGAGGGTTTTTGTTGGTGGTTCGGTGGTGGGATGCTTTTCCATGTTTTTCCCTTTCAGTTAGTAGTCTGGGGGCCACCTTAGACACGGACGGAACAGTAGGCCATGGTGCTCCAAACTCCGAGAGTGCCTGAAACCCTTGCCCTTCAAACACCACTAACAAAAATGGTTGACCTAGTTTTAAGTAAAATAAAAGCAGCATGATTAATTTAACAAAATGGTGGTTCGAATCCTAGGGTAGAGAATCTTAAACAGAAGGCAACACTCCTGGCTATCCAGGCGGTTCTTGGGCAGTCCCCTAATTTATGACGCACGCCTTATGAAGTCCCCAGAAGCTGGTAGAGCGATAAAGTGCTAAACTCTTGCAGAAGTGAACTGGGACCTGGTTGACATGTTTCCCTTGAGTGTGATTTTGCTTCACATATCATTTTTCCAGACACTCTTTAGTCAAAGTTTGGGCCTTCTGAATGAGTACTCTAAGTCTTGCCACACAAGAGTAGGCGTGCATCGAATTCCCTCCCAACATCGACCAAGACCGTACACGAGGGTGTCTGCCCTGCCACGTTTCTATGACCAGGTGGCCTTAACCGCCATGTGCATCTTCCAGCCTTTGTGCGCCTCGTGGCCGGGTCACTCATTTTCGCATCATCAAGACGGTGAAGAGCGCTGTGGAGAGGGGATAGTCTACGCACACCATCACAGACCACTTGGTTTGAGAACAATGGTCGATTTTTTGGATGCTTGATGATATGGTTCGATTGCGTGATTTGTTGGACATTGGGGAGGTTTTTGCAACGGCTTAGTGGTATTTGAGATGGTTTGAGATGGTTTGAACCATCTCCACGGCACTTTCCTATGAGTACCGTGGATCAGTTGGATCGGTTGGTTGGATGAGTATTGTATCTCAACACCAGTTGGTTCCAACTGATCCAACCAATCAGTTGGATCAGTTGTGGACTAGTTGGTTGGATCAGTTGGTGTATCACTTCAGCTGGTGTCGCGGCCATCCACACTGACCCTCCAGTCGGCCGCCCCAGGCCGAGCACTCGACCGTGCTGGGACTCGGCGCCAAGTCGGTGCGGGAGCCGTGTCGGGTGGCGTGGGTGGGGGGTCGGTCCAGGGTGGCAAGGGACCGTGCCTGCACCATGCCCGATGGGCCAAGAAGACCACTGTGTGGTTGTGGTGGTGGTGGTCATGGTCCACACCATAGCCATCCATAGCCACCATAGCCATCCATACCGGACCCAAGAAACAGACCATTTTGTGATGTTGTTTGTTCTTCCGCCCATGCACATCCACCTTTTGCCAGTCTATGTCAAAAGCAGGCCTTTGTCAGAATGGGTTGTGGATAAGAAGCTGGCTATGAAGCCATGATCCCTCACTGGACCCCGAGCAGATGACATCCGAGTTCCCATCCCAAACCTATAAGTTCCATATACAACTCATCGACTTTGCTTCGTGTTCGTTGCACCACCACCCCCGCAACCCAAGTGACCCGACATGGATCCCACCAGACCCGATCGGCGGTTCGGTCCTGCCGCCACGGGACGGAACCTTCACGAGCCCTTCCCTTATTGTTTGTATGGGAAAAGGGACATGTCCACCATGCCCAGTGGAACATCATGGATGTGTTGTTTTTCTTATTTTCAAGCAGATGGTTAGCCACCAACAGGGTCCAGCTGAGTTTGGTCGCACTGGAATCAGACACGGTGTCGTTCAGAAGTCCGACGAAAGTGCCTTTGTGAAGTATATCATGTTGATCTCTTGTTAAGACAACACATATTCTACTAAGATACCAACATGTCGGGAGTTCTTAAAGTGCCTTTGTGAATCACATATACATCATGTCGCTTGTTTTCACTTGTGGGTCACCTCAAAAGGGTGGCAAGAAGCGCAAGAAGACCACCGAGCTCGGGTGATCCGTCAGACGCCCCTCCAGGTGGACTACCGCCGCCGAGCCGAGGCGGCCAAAGCAACGTTCGGCGTTGGAAGGAGTGAGTCCCAAATAGAAACAACAGTGAATATATACAAGTATATGCATGCATTCTGAATTTCCTCTAATTCTTTGAAGCTATTTGTTTATATTTATGTCATCCGATTGATTTGGGGACTTCTATATCCACATTGCAGCTATTGCACATGTGCCGGCCTATTGGCAGAGGCAATTCAACTGAATCGAAGACATGGGAAAAAAAAGCAAGCATCCAAAAGAAGTTAAACAACTTAAATATCTAAACAAGCATGTTAAAGGCGATGGTGTCATTTTGGATGAAGGAGGATCTATTTGTTTGGCTCATTTTTGGATCTCCTGGTACTTCTGTATGAGGCCAACATGGAGTCGGACTTCGGCCACTCGGCAGAAGGGATGCGGACAACATCGGCACTGCAACAACAGGAGGTTGGGTTCTAGATGTCTGGAGAAAGAAAGACAAGGTTCAATTTGCTTCAATGTTTATTGTTTCTTGACATCCATTCATTTTTGGGATGAATCAGGACTTGAACGAAAAAAAGCGTTGGGGCAGGTCACCAGGATGTTTCTCTTCAAGGTTGAGACTAGAACCCCTTTGCCAAGCTTAGATGACCAGCTTTCTTGCGCTTTGGAAGCGTGGAAGATGGTTGATGTTTGCGGAAGAAGTCGCCATGTTTGTTTGGATCACTATAGGTGATTATGGCAAAGATATGGATGGTCATAGGAACAATACCTCTTGCCATGCACAGATTCCTTGTCACATGCAGCAGCTTCCTTGGTTGCAGAACATTCGAGCACCATGCAGCACGAACTCGTGGGGGCATGGTACAGGAGATGCGCAAGCGATGTGGCTCAACAGATTGCCCTGAAGTTTCATGAGCACTCTGGCTCAGGACGTGTCCAAAATGAAAGTCATAGATCAGATCAGATCCATACACTTTGTCATTGGTTAGTGAGTTAGAGAGAGGATGAACAGATTCTGATTCATGCGTGTACATGCATGAATCATGAATCATGCATGGTACGGTACTGCAAGAGATTGAACGACTTCACGATGCTTACTGCTGATGACCTACCTAGATGACTAGATACAAGTAATTAGACGTGTGTGTATAATATACAATATGCACATGTTGGATCTGTCGTTACAAAGATTCTTGGAGTCTATCCTTGAATCTTGCCATGCAGGTGTGCTTCTTAACTTCAGGTGAGACCGTCACAGTGTTGGAGCCTTCCGATTTTGACGGCAAATCGGCGCGCGTTCTGAAGCGACACTTGGCTGCTCCGCTCGGTATCTCCAGGTTTCGACAAAGACTCTTTGCGGAGGATGGTGTTGAGATCCCAGATGCTGATCTGTTTACCTCGGATCCAGTGAAGGTCGGGCTGGTGATTTTGGGGTATTGCTTGCCTGATGCTGAACAGAGTCAAGAGTTGATCAATGCATCCAGAGAAAACGATTCGGCGGCGCTCGAGAAGCTGCTTCAACGTCCTTTGCATCCCAAAACCGAAGATGAACGTGGCAAGACACCATTGCACTGGGCTGCATGCAATGGGCACCTTGAATCGATGCTGCTGTTGCTTGAGGCGGGAGCAGAGAAAGACGCACAGGACAAAGGAAACAGGGAGACGCCTTTGCATGAGGCAGCTCTTGAGGGACATTTGGATGCTGTTCGCATACTGGTTGAAGCTGGCGCTGACAAAGATCTCACTGATGGCCTCGGGGGAACAGCGCTGAGCACTGCAGCTGGTTATGGCTTTCTTGAAACTGTCCGCTTCCTAGTTGAAGCTGGGGCTGACAAGGATCATGCCGCCACCGACGGGCTAACACCTTTGTACTTTGCAGTTCAGGAAGAAGAACTTGACATTGTCCGCTTTCTAGTTGAGGCTGGGGCCAACCCAAACCGGGGCATTGTTCATCTGACGGGGGCGTCGACGACCCCGTTGCATGAAGCAGTTTTCCGGCTCAATTTTGAAGCTGCCCGCTTGCTGATTGACGCTGGAGCCGACAAGGATCAAGCTCAGTGTAGTGGGAGGACACCACTCTGCACGGCAATCGACCGGGGCAGTTTGGACATGGTCCGCTTGCTAGTTGAAGCTGGCGCTGACAAACAGCGCGCCACATATTGTGGGGTAGCACCGTTGCACATCGCTGCTCTTGGTGGGCAGCTGGAGATTGCGCGCTTCCTGATTGAAGCTGGAGCCAACACAAACCAGGCCTCCGAGAGCGGGGACACACCACTGCATGTTGCATCTTTGGCTGGGCAGCTCGATGTGGCACGCTTGCTGGTTGAAACTGGGGCCGACAAGGATTGGCCCATGGTCTACTATGGGACAACGCCGCTGCACCTGGCTGCTGCTCGTGGCCATTTGGAAGTTGTCCGCATGCTGGTTGAAGCGGGGGCGAAGAAGGATCAGCAAACGAAAGATGATGGGTCAACAGCTTTGCACTTTGCATCTGCGCGTGGCCATCTTCATGTTGTGCGCTTCCTGGTTGAGTCTGGAGCAGATGATGGCATCACTACATGCAGCGGAGCAAGTGCTCTTGATCTGGCAAATCAGCTACTTTACCTGGAGACAGGACAATATCTTGCCGAGGTCGAGGCCAGGTCACTCCGAAACAAGCGCCGAAGAGTCAGTGATAGACAGTGACTGCTGGAGCTGAACGATGGTGGCTGCCCCATCCTTCTCGACACCGGTGCCGTAGTCCATTCACTGTGTGGTCACCTTTCCTGCGTGTCATTGAAAAGGCTTGGTGTATATGGGTGCATCGGACTTTTTGTTTAGCTGGGTGCAGAGACCTTCTGTGAGACATAAACTTCTTGGTGTGGTTGACATCCGTTTCTTCATGTTTCTTCCGCTGCTTCAGCTCGGGCACTGGCCAACAAAACAAAGAGGTCTGCTCAACCCACTTTCTCGGCCGTTCCATCTTGACGCTTTCTGCGCTCAGATGCTTTTCTGGTCGGCGATCTGGGCGCCGAGCTCTTTGAGTCCAAGTGGCGGGAGTGCGTCGGTCAGGTGGGCGTGGGCTAGTGGTCTAGTGTACCTTTCACCGATCTCAAATGGTTGACACTGGTTTGTGGGCATTTGAGTGAGATGGGGCAAACAAAATTCGTGCTGTTGCGCACGTTTTGTCAACAAAAACGCCCACGTTTGATCTTTTTTTCATGGTCAAAGACGCTGTGTAGAAACCTTCAATACTTCGAAGTGATGCTTTGCCACCACTCCTGCCACGCACCGCCTTCGTTGGCCCCGTTGCCAGGCACCAGTGGAGTCAGTCACATTGACACTTCCCATGGGCACGGCGCTTGGAATTCCCGAGCAGCGCACTCGTGCGAATGGCGCTTTGAGATCTTTGCGACGAATTGAAACAGGGGGGTTGCAGAGGTCAGCGCAGAATGTTAGTTGGATCATCAGGTGTCAAAGTGGTGTGTCTGTCAACATCCAGAAAGACTTTTCAAGTAAAGATTCAAATGTTTCACATGTTGTCATAATGAATTAGGGTCAATTACACAGCATTTGGGAAACCCAACGTGACAATTCCCCTGTGTTTTCACATGTTTTCACCGCAAGACCACATCTCCTGGTCAGACCAGGTCGGAATCCGCATCGGGAGCCGGTCCGTCCGCTCCGCTCCAGGGCGGTATCTGGATGTGCCGCAGGTGGCGGGTCGAGGACTTAGGAGTCGACCGAGGTAGCATCTGATGGATGTTGTAACTGTTTTGACATGTCACGAAAGCTAGCGAAGCTAGCTGGAGTTACTCTTGCGATAGCAAGGTTTCTTTCGACCGGGTGCAAATCCTAACCCCTGATTATTCAGGTCGAAGACCCCCCCCCCACCCCCCCCCCCTCTCCCCCCACCTCCCCTCTCCCCACCTCCCCCCCTCTCCTCCTCCTTGTCTTCCTCCCATCTTCCCTCCCTCCCTCCTCCCTCCTCCCTCTTCGCAAGTTCGACTCCGTCCTGTCGTCGCTCTTTGGCATGCGGTTAGCGTTGCGTATCTTGCGGCCGCACTCGCTCACTCTCACTCTCACTCTCTCACTGTCTCACTGTCTCACTGTCTCTCTCATCTCTCTCATCTCTTTCTCATCTCTCTCATCTCTTTCTCATCTCTCTCATCTCTCTCTCCTCTCTCTCTCTCTCTCCTCTCTGTCTCTCGTCTTTCCGTCTCTCTTCTCTCTCTTCTCTCGCAGGAGGATCCGGGCAAAGAGCCACATATAAAGGACTCTTCACCCCTGCCTCCAAAAAGAGCGCCGTGTTTTTTCCTACCTCGCTGCCCTCCACTTTCCCATTCTGGAGCGCTAGCTTTCGCCCCCCCCCTTGGCCTCAAGTTGTGTATAGCTGGAACTGCAGTGTGGAGATGGGGACTTGGAGGATTTGGTTTCATCCCGGCCATCCCTGCCATTTTCTTTGCATACTTCACATAACCAAAACATGTGCTTGGTGATTCTTCACACACACACACATACTGATCAGACACATGTTCCCACTTTACACCATACCATGTGATGGCGAAAAACTGATTTGCAGACCTTGTCAGGCTCGGCCTGCCGTTTGGGTTTTCAGGAGCTTTGCGCGGGGGACCGCGGAGAGGTGCCAAACGCCGAGGGTTTTTGGAAAGAAATGGTCGCATTATGTCGCATTTCCAGCCTGTGGTTTGCTAACCTGGTATCTTGAACGCAAAGCGAACGTTAATTGAACGCAAAGTGAACGCACTGCGAACGCAATCTGAATGCAATTGCGGTTGGACTGATTTTTTCCACTCCGGAGTGCTTTTTGTCACACCACTGTCCAAAAGATTGATAATTACAAAACGGAGTGATAATTATCACTTTTTACCTGGAAGGAACAAATCAAATGACCATCCTTCCGGATGCCCAACAGAAAAGTTTTGTCGTTTCGCTTTGGCGTTGCTTCAAATCATGTTGATACTGAGCAAGGATCCCCCTAACTTCCCATTCTTGACACCAACTCCAACCATGTCTGGACACCCACATGATTTGTTGCTAAAACTCATACAATTCATATGCAATACCATATGCCATCTGCACGTATTTACTGTATATCTTTTTTTCGCGCTGAACCGCCCTCCCTCGGCACGTGAGGCCGACTTTTACGCGCTGGCAGATCGATTTCAAACGGTCTTCCTGAGTGGAGTCCCCAAGTCGGGGCCTCGGGCCTGTGTTCTGGGAGAGCACGGAGTCTTGTTGTGAAACGTACTTCGGACCGGAGCCAGGGGAATGGACTGAACCACCTTAGAAGACGTTAAGGCTTTTGAGGTGTCGGAGTTTGACGGTTTGGCTATGGGGTCTCGGTGTGGCACTTGCGATATGTTCCTCCGCGCTTGAACTAAGGGCAGGCATGTCAGACTTCGAGGGTTTTACTCACCTTTGATTTCCCCAAGTGATGCTTTGCGAGGCCATTCTTTCATGGTTCAAGCAAGACGGAATGTGCTTCAACTGACTGGTTCTGCATGAACGGCTCCGACTTGAACTTGCCTTTCAGAGGGGCCCCAAGAGAGCAACATCTAACCCCCAGACAGCTGATTCTGTTGATGAAACCTTTCTATCGAACCGTGATTGCAAATCTATAGACTTTCTCCTTGATGTACTTCATCTTTAATTTTCAGGACTTACTGTAACATGAACATCTCGGCAGCCTTTTCACCCCCAGCCCTTGGGTCCGACCAGCTGCTGAAGTCGTTTCGCCCACCATGCGGTCCGCAAGCCAAAATCCTCGTCTTGAAGTCTTGAGGCGGGTTTTTGGCCACGACGGGTGATGACGCTGGTGTTTGTGGTGGTCTCTGTCAGGTCGATAGTCTGGTCTCTGTGAACGCCACAGTCTGGGCGAACATGTTCAGTGCCTCAATAGATGACTCAGTGCCGATAGAATTGGTGGATGTGAAAAGCATCTACAGAATCCACCCCCGGATTGGTTTAGCATGCAATCTTTTGGCGGGGTGGCTCCAAAAGGTGCAGGGACCCAGGGACCAGGTTCGAGCCTAAGCGTTCCTATTCCAGTGGTGCCCTGGGGTGTCCCAGGGGTGTCCCCTATTCTTGAGTCCCGACCTCGGTCGTACGATCCCCAAAGACTTAGAGGTTTTGGACCCGATCTCGCTCGGTTTGTGGCGCCGTACGTTCGATCTCGCTGTGAGGTCTACTCGATGTCCGGAGTCAAGTCGGTGGGTACCAGTGTTTCTACTACCAGATGAATGTCAGTGTGAACGTCATCCTTGGAACCGTCCTCCAAAATGCTGGAAGATCCCAGGAGATCCAATGAAAGATATGTTCGACCGAGAGAACTTTCTAGACTCCAAAATCTAGGGATCCAATGAAAGACGAGGTTATGACTGAGATTACCCTCTATACTCTACAGCGTGGAACAGAGTATACAGTATACATCTTGAATTTTTTCAGGTGCAGCGAGACGTTTCATGCAAAGGAAGTCCTTAGATGATGTTCTTAGCATGCAAGTCCCACTCTGGACAAAATAGCCTTGGCCCACAGAGGCCCAAGGCATTCGACCTTCGGGTTCTGAAATCAAGTTCCCAAGAGCGGAAGGTCGCCCCTGAACCAACCTGAATCTTACTTTCTTTGACAACCTCGTTTGTACAAGTGTTTGGGGTGTCAGGAAGTGATGATCTGCACGAGCCGGAAGTGGTACATGTGGTTGGACAGTTGGCTGTTGCACGGTGCCGAATCGATCCACAGAACTTGGATGCCCAAGTAGCCTGTAAGTCGAGCCATTTCTCCCTCCCCCCAGCCGGACTGGTCCCCACAACTGGTCTCTCGGAGTGGACGTACGCAGGTTACAGCCTCACGCACCAGATGCGCCCAAACCCCAACAGCGTCGACCAGGCGATGGTCCGTGGTGTCCATGGGACTCATGGATGCGTGGGACGTGGGCTTCCTGTGAAGGATGCAGGTTGGATCAGGTCAACAGCCTGTTCATGTTCATTCTATAGAAAAGTTGTGGGGGCTTTGGTCGTTGGAAGTTGTTTCATGTGGGTTTTAGGGGGTTTGAAATCCAATGGATTCTAATGGCTTCTATAATGTTCTATATGATATTATATGATTCTATATAACGTTGAAGGCCTTAGATAGTGCCTAGGCACAGAGTCGGACGGAGGATAGCGTGATCTTCGGGTCCCTGCAATGGCAAGACTATAGTTCGATGTTTACATGAATGTGCAACCTGTTTGGAGCTTCATAGCAAGGGGTGTCGTGTCCTTCCAAGTGTGAGGCAGATTGTTGGAACCCTGGTGACACTGGCAGGTGCACAAGTGCTACATGAGATCAAAAGGAAAGGTGTTTCAGGTGTTTCTCCTTTCAATCTTTTTCTCTCTCGCTTTCGCGCCATCCATCGCGACGACGCTCGCTCGCTCGCTAAGCCCGCGAATCCCGGTCGAACAGGCCGCAGATGTTGGGAGGCGCCGGGAAGACCGGTCGCCGATGTGCCGATCCCGTGTGTTGCGAGAGATGTGGACATCGTCGTTTTTTGTTTTGTTTGATGGGTGATGGGGTGGTCAGACAACTCAAAAAGAATCAGATGGCACGAATTAACACGTTCTGTTTGTTTTTGTGACCCCTGACATGCTCGATCTTCATAAGTCAACAGTTCACCCCTCTAGATGAATCACCTCTAAATGATGGATTGAATTTGTTGAGAGGCATTGTCTATGGTTTGCGTCGATCAGCAAGGCATGCTGCACTGTTCGTTCTTCACCTGCGAGGCTCCTAGTCCAGCTGACCAGTCCCGGGCCCCAGCGGCATTTGAACCTTCAAAACACGATGGCAACTCCAGCGGCTGGGGTGAAAAACCGATAGAGAAGGCAATGTTGGTGACCTCAAGACCAGCTGGATCTGGCTATACCATGGTTTTTTTCACTGGAGTTCGGGCATTTTTCTGAAGTGCCAGCAAACATGTATAGAATTTGAAAGGTCACTTTGGGGTAGGAACGTTGCTTCTTTTTTGCCTTTGACCGGTGCAGGTCGACCATGTTTTTCCGGTGTTCTCCTATGTTCCGCTCGTTGTATTATTTTGAGTTGTTGTGCATTCTTCCAAGAAAGTAGTGACTTTAGGCGAGGTAGTTCAAGCATGGTGGCAGAGAGATCTGAGATCGTGCAAACAGAGACTCATCACGTTGTGAACCTTCTTTTTGCATTTGCCAGAGCCAGCACCCGAAAATATCCAAGGTGTCCTTCCAACCAATTATATAAGTATTATAAGTTAATTCTTATCATGTCTTATCGACGGACATCACAAGACTTGCACTGCTGGAGCCAGAAAGGCCCTGCTGCTGTGATGCCTATTGCTGCGCTTTTCACGTTTCAGGTCTTGGTCACCTCAATCTGCAGAGGATTGGCCAGGCACAGCTGCTGTTGAGTCGTTTACTGTCACAGCTTGGACCTGGGTCACTCATATGTTTGTTCTGAACAAGAGAACTCGTTATTCCATGAGTAGCATCTAGTTGAGGCTGCTTGAACAGAGTTCTTTGATACTTCTGACATCTTTGGGCTAGTTCTCCTATTGTTTAAAAATGAAAATCAAAGGAAGAACCTCATAGAGTTGGGATTTGCTCACAAGATATGGTCAACCTTTCTTACTCAGAACTTGGATTTGTCCTATTATATATACCTGTAGCAGTTGGTAAACAAGAACTTCACTATTTTAGGGAAAGCTTTTTACTACACATCATTGTCATCCACTGTTACTGGTAATGAGACAGACCCGACATTGAACAACTCTCATCACTCTCATCTTCAGGGAGGGCCGCCTAAACACCTCAGGAAGTGATGAGTGGGATGTCTGTGACATGCTGACGCAGGTGCCGTCGGAGGTGGCAAGTGAATACATATGGAAAGGTGACAAGTCAATGTAGGAATGGCAATGTACGCATGGATGAAATGATGTAGGGAGACAAGTCTTTGATTTGTTGTATTCTTTCGTAGAGAGAAATGTCTGGGTGTTTTTGAGTATTTCTCTCCTTTGGCATAGGGGTGGCACATGGTGGCACCCTATCAGAGTAGAAGTCTGAAATTTGGAAGTACACTCAAGCATGGAAGTGCACGATCGTTTACATAAGTTATATTAGTATATACATGCACATAGTTTCCTGATTCCTGACTGCATTGTTTCAACCAACGACAAGTGCTTATCATGTCGAATGGATCCGACATGAAGTCTTCAAGTTTGAACGGCATCCAAAGCCCATTTTGAGGCATTCTTTGTAGAATGATCCCACACCCAAAGCACTCAAGCCTTTTCGTGAGGATTACTTGCAACGCTATTGTGATGGTGTGGACCTTGCTGAGGTGGAGGCAAAGCACGGAGAGTCAGAGATTGTTATGATGCACTTCAAAAAAAGAAGCACAAACAAGCAGAGTTGTGGAGCAAACAACACTGTCATCCAGACCCACTTGCTCGAACCGCCACGAAGGAAGTTGAAATATCCACTGCATGTTGAAGAACAGAAGAAATCTGAAGAGCTTCTATGGAGCACACGCTCACAGCAGAAAACCCCTGGCCACTAATAGACTTCATCGCATTTGCTGATTCAGCGTCCATCCCTCCATCCACCGCGCGGTGCTTCTCCACCGCACGCGGCCGGTGGTGCGCCGGTGGACGACCGAGAGCGGCATCGCGTCAGGCCTTGGAGATCTGCGTGGACGCGGTGCGGCAGAACGTGGACGCGCTGGGTCGATGCCGCTTGGGGAGGGTGGAAGGTTTCAGCGGGGTGAGATGGAGGTGAGAAGGAAGTGGGGGATTTGGGGTTTTGGAGGAAGGAGGGGCGGGTTTTGGTGCGTGATATTTGTACGAGCAGTGGGTTGAAAAGGAGTGAAAAAAAGGAGTGTTGGTGGAAACTGGAAGGGTGTGTTGAATCATTTCAGTTGACTCAGTTTATTGGGAAGCTGCAGTCCTGCTCTCAGAATTGAATTCTTGAAAACCTGGAGTGCTGTTGTATTGGTCTCTCAGCCAAGCACCACACCTCGGGAGTGGCCACCTTCCGGGAGTGTGAATTGTGATAGGGTCTGAGAAGACTATTAATATTGTGAATAGTGATGGGACACAATTTCTCATGTGATAGGATCTAAGAATTGTGATTGTGAATTGTGTCTATTGTTTTTAGAGATAATTGAGAAATTGATGGGACCATCCGATTTGTCACATCAAACTCCGCAGTATATACCCCCAAAAAAACTTATCAATCACCACTCAACTGTTCTCCCACCAGGCGAGATCTTCAATCCCATCAAACCCTCACACTCACGTACGTCCCTCCGAACGGCTTGCGATCCACTCCCACTCGCAGCTGCCCTCGTCGACCTTGGCACAGCTGAGGTCTCCCCAACCTCTTGCGACTGCGGCTTTCAGGGCCAGGGGCTCCCAAGGGGCTTTCCGCCGGAACACATTGGGACTCCGTGACGAGGGGCAGCTGAAGGTCGGACAGCCCCGGAATGGAGAATCAGAAGAGACAGCTGATCGTGCATGGGGAGCGACTTACCATTTGGTGCTCTCCAAGTGGTCTGAGTGCACAACGAATGCGTCGTGCTTTTGGCCCCATGTCTTAGAAGTCAGTCGGCAACAGTGCCCACCAATCGAAACTCCGAGATCTAGGTCTACGGTCTACAGGGTATGTGGCATGTGTCAATAGCCCCATTTTACACTGAAGATCACTGAAGTAGCTATAGTCTATAGTCATATCATCATGATGTTTCCAGCATGGTGACCTGCGTGGTATTGTGTACGTACCTTGTGGATAGAACAATGACTCTGAGTACGGAGCCATGCCAACCACTTCCGTTTCACGTTCGTTGAACACCAGGGCTCCACACACACGAACACCGGCGCTGTAACCGCGCGATGTGAGCGACGTGGAGCGACGAACGCACGCTGAATGCCCAGGTCGAGCATCATGTGTGTCGAGGGCCCCAAGTGGACGAAACAGTGGAAACCGTGGCGTGGAAACCGTTGTTCACCATCACAACTGAGACACATCAAACTGAGAGGATCAATCTTTGCCTGCTGTGGTGTTATCACTTTAAAAAGGGACCGTATGGTGGCCGTCACAGTCTTGTCTTGCATGAATTGTGATTTTTTACTGTCCAGTTCTTTGAAAAAACGCATACAACTCGGCGATCACCCTTTCATCATCTGCTCAGCCATTCCACTGACTAATCAAAACTCTTATATACATTTCATTTGCATCCTACTTTGCCGCCCTCATAGCTCTTGCTGCAAATCCCCAAGACGCCCCTTTAGGGCCTCCCTGCCGATGCTGGCCACTCAGTCAAGTTAAAAGGCCCTCCAAGAGTTTGGTTTCGTCTTTAGAGTCTCGGCATGTTTCGGCATAGCTTTTTGAAGATGTCCCACAATTCAGATCTCAGAACCCCCCTGACAGACTTATATATAGGGCTTCTGATGATCCTATTTTCCTCTCTTGAGGTGCAGATTGGACTCCCAACATCTCTGAACCATTTGGAATCTTGCAGTCCGACATCTGCAGGCACACCCCATGGGGACACTCCAATGACCCAACTTCCCAGCTTATGAGCTTTTGCAGACTCCACTCAGCTCAGGTTCGAGACTTAGGTGCCCACCTACAACAGCTCCAGGCGAACGCGGACACAACGCAACCCCGCACCGTTGTCGGGGTTGGGGAAGCGCGGTGGCGTTTTGGAGGGTTTTCTCCAAGAAAGGACCTTGGCATACTCTTCCATTGCAAGCTGATCGTGGGGGGTGGAAGTCTTTACCTGATTTAGAAGCATAAATCATTCGGAGGTCTTTTTGGTCAAATGTTTTGCAATTAAGACTATAGGGTGCACGCTATCTTCAAGAAGGCTTCACCTTCCGGGCCATCGCAACCTGCCACCTACCGCCCGTATACCACGCGATGGTCCACGCGGGTCGTTCCGCGATACTGCAGGTGCTGTGGTTGGGCTCCTGTGGTCTGCAGGATCTCAGTGGAGTGACCCTCATGGAGGCTGTCCAATCGGTGGCGCATTAGCAGCAGCGGCCGGTCCGCCACAGTCCGTCTGCTGCTACTGGGGGTGTTTTCACATGGTTTGTGATCCACACACAGCCTTCCACAAGAAGCTACGCGAGGATCAGAGAGGTCATAAGCTACTCGGCGTTCAATCAAACATGTTGCATCCTGTTACGACTTTCTACTTCGAAGTATTTGCTTGTTGAAGACATTGGTTTGTGAAAGAGATGCCAACATTTGCCGATGGTCTACCACCATCATGGCAGATCTCGAGATTGACAACGATGCGACGTATCTTGTGAGTAGTCTTGATTGATCAGTTCACCTTAAGTTTGATACGCAGGTTGATCCCCAAAAAAACACGAGAAGCCACACGGTTGTGCCCCGTATAGGTTGAGTGGAAGTCATTGTGATTCACGCTCCGCAGGGGCAGTGAAACATTAAGTCTCTCCATGTCTCTCCATCCGTCTCGGAATCCTTTTGCCCAACCCGCGCGGAAGCTCGCTTCTGTCCAGTCGGTCCGCCCACTCACAGCGGCCTTGGCCGCGAGGCCCTCCGAGAGCTCTACTTGCCCTTCAACGACGTGAGCGACGTCTCGGCCTTGAAGTGGTTGGACTTGGAGGCTCTGCCGGCGAGCCCGGGGTGGAGAAGGTGGATGTCTTGTGCAAAGATGAGCTGAAGGCAGAGGTGAACATTTGGGTGAATGTGTTGTGTAGGTTGGGGGACTTACACAATGGCTTTCACTAAGTGAGACTAAGTATGATTTATAGCAAGTAGTAGCAATGATACTCCCCAAAGAGTAGGAATGGGGTCGTTTTCATCACAATATCATGGAGAGTTCCAGTGGCTGCTTCTTGGTGCCGAACACTCAAATGGGCCTCAACAGAACTCAAATGCAACGTTGGTCCCTCAAACGAGGAGCCAACATGAGAACTGTAACAAACATTGACATAGACCATCGCTGCAAGGAATTACATGCAGTATACCACATGTACACATACATGATCATTGTTATATGTATAGAAGGAATTCAATTGTCATTATCTTCTTACTGTACTGACTCCAGGTCTAAAATCTTCCTGGCTTACACCTCTTGGGCGGTGCCTTGTTGTTCTCACTCCGTGACTCGCAGGTCTTGGACCTGGAAGGCAATGCCTTGTCGGATGCTAAGGCATGCCCATCCCTGGAACCCGGTGGGTCCGGTCCAAAGTGATAGGCAGCGGTCTGTTTTGCAACATGTGGCGCAAGGCTTCCTTCTGAGTTCTGGTTGCTGCATGTAGATACAAAATGATACAACATGTTTAAAGGAACAACATCTATAGCTATAGAGAGTGCTATCGAGGTATTCCATCAAACTTCACCACTCCTTAGACAACTTCCAAGATTTCTGCTACCAACACGCCAACACGCATATAATATGATTGCCTGTTTGTCCGCTCCCCCTTCCCATCCCCTCACCCTCACCCCCTCCCCCCCACCTCCACGGACCCTCGGACCACGCGATGCGCCCGTCAGGACCTCTGGGAGCTCGGCCGCATCGCGTCGCTGCGGCACCTGACGCTGCGCGGGAACCCCGTGGCGCCGCCCGTGGGCGGCGCCGAGTGGCAGGAGCTGCGGAAGGAGCGCACGACCGGGGGCCGAGGTGAGATGAGATTGGAAGGAAAAGGCATATCAACAGGGGGTAGTCACAGGATGTCACAGGTATAGTTTTTGATATGTTTGTTATAGCAATATATAGATGTATGATGGTGCAACCACCTAGACAGCCTAGACATTATTATCATAAACTTGTGGCATTACATGACACCGGAAAAGCTAGCAGTGACTGGATTTGGTCCAATCTCACGCCTGAGTGGTCTTGATGTCCCAAAGATAGTTCAACATGCCTGGATGTTTTTCCTTTCCTGATCGTTTCAAGGGTATGACTCACAAACATTTAAAGTCCACCCAGACGCTCCAGACTCTGGACCCATAGGGACGGGACCCGAATCCTCTGGAGGGGTCGGGACCCGAACCATTCCCTATGGTTTTTGAGGGACCAGGAAAGGCCTGTGAACGGAGCGTTTGGGCAGTGGGCTTTCTCTGCCTCCTTCACCTCTTTGCCTCCTGTGAACATGCCCTCCGCTCTTGACGGGTGCGAAGCCTTGGAGCCAGGAGCTTGGTGCCAAGCTCCCGCTGTTGGAAGCCTTGGATGATGAAGCGGTGGACGACGAGGAGCGAGCGAAGCTGGACCGAGTGACACCTCGAGAGAACGGTCGGCTAAAGAGATGGTCCTTGGGCTGGTGATGTGTTGGGACGTGGCAAACGGACGAATCAAAAAAGCCTTTGGAATGGGCTTTTTTCGGAGGGGTGAGCCAGCTTGGTGAATAGGGAAACGAATCGATTCAGAGGAGCAGCAAGAATCTACAAGAGCTGCAGCTGCTCGCAAATGGTCATTGACTCCTATATATTGGGCAGTCTTCAGTTTGCTGTCCAAGTCTGTGGGTTTCAATGCGAACTCGACCCATGTGGCACTTCTCCGAGCCCTTGAGACCGACGCCAGGTGATTTGTCCGGAGGAAGTCGAAAGCGTCTCAACTTGGGAGAAGGGATGGAGATTCTTGGACCACTACCTGGAGACCGATTTGGAACTCTACATGGACTTGTTCCTTTGCCAGGAGCGGCATATTTTGGGTTTCGTCGTTTCTTTTTTTTGCAATTGAAGGAAGAGTTCAGAGTTCTGTACTAGTATGGGAGTCTACAAGAAACGCATGTATATATACATGCAAGTACATGTGCTGGAGTTAGTTCTGGGCTTGTCCAGCATTTCTGGGAAGCTGCAAATGGTTCAGTCTCCAACTTATTTTGGTGCTTGGAGTGTATTCTCACAAGATTGCACGGAGAATACTCCTTGGATCGCAGGAGTATGCAGCCATGTTGGGAAAGAAAAGCACGCATTCTATGTCCAGGTTGTTGAACAACAATAATATAATCACCCATTGACTATTGATCATTCTGATGCACTTGGACTTACAGTTTTCATTGCAGTCATCCTTACCTTTGGGAGGTCTTCCTGGGAGGAAGGGAGGTTCATTGCTGTGGTGGATTGTCTCTTTTTGTGCTTGTGTACATGTAACAGAAAAGGATGAATCAGATTCATAGCTTGGATCTTGGATCCAACCCGCTGTGCTAGCTGTTTGTGTGTTGTCGGTTCTCGTGGCTTTTGGAGAAGCACACAGAAAGACCAGTCAGATGTCATTAAAGCGTGAAGTGCAGGTTGGAGGATAAATTAACACTAAAGCGAGGAAATCAGATATTATTAATCCTGTTTCTTTGTTGATGTTTCTGGGAACACCAACACTTCTTTCAGGTAAGAGGGACCACAAAAGGTTTTACGTTCCAGCGCAGGGGTTGTTGTTATTTGTTTTTGTTTTGTTCTTGCGTTGTATGTATGGCCGGTAAGTGGGGCAAGAGACAAATGAGAGGTCGGTCACTTTGCGAGACGTCCGCGGCTCCGTTGTGAGACGTTTGTGGCGAGGACGAAGGGCCTGAAGAGAAGGAGGCACCCAAAACGGGCCAAGGGCAGGTGTGTTACGGTGTGTTTGGCCAGTGCTGCGATTCTTGATGTAGGGAATGAAGCATAGTACTCTTGGAGAGTGCACAGAGAGCGCTCTTCGTGATGCATGCTAGATTCTGCCAAAATGATTTTAGATCACGTAGATCTTGAGATGCAGCCACACCCAGGGACACATCCACAAGGACCTTGGTCACTCTCCCAGGACCTAGCAGCAAGGAACGATAGCAGCAAGGTGGGATGGATCATTCAGATGGACCCTGGGTCACTCAACATCCCAAGCACCACAAATCCACCGGTGATCTCCTCTCCTCCCACCGACCTCCACCGAGGCCTCCTCCCCCGGACGCCGCGCGTGGCGCGGCCTGCGCCCTGCGGCCGAGACGGCCTTCGGCTCGGAGCCGGACGAGGAGGAGCTGCTCTTGGAGCGGCTCCGGGCACCGCGGGTGATACGACCGGGTGGCTCGGTGAGGACGCAAAGAATGAGAGGAGGAAGGAGGAATAAGGAGTTGAGGAGGTATAGTTACACTGCCTGAAATCATGGAAGCAGTGGATGGGATGGGAAAATGGTCCTTTATTTTTGTTCGGAGGACCTTTGAACAATCGGAAGAGCAAACAGGTGTGATTGTCCACTTTTATGATGATTTGTCCACTAATCACAAATCGAAAGGTTGTGTTGGGAGCCCCTTGTTGCCTCTGGTGGCCCACTTTAGAAGCTTCTATCCAAAAGCAAAAGAAGGGCAGCACTATGTGGGACATGGTTCTTGTTGACCCAGATGCCCGCAAAAACGGTCTGGGCAGATGGCGCCAGCCAAAAAACGATCTGGTGCCGAGGCATTCCCTAAGACCCAATCAGTGGAGAAGCTTTCACATCCTATTGAACTATTTTTTTGAGACGTGTTATTAAGAAAAATAAAGTATAGGGCGAAAAGCTTATTTTCGCCCTATAGCCATCCGTTCGACTATCAGAAGATACTTGACATCCGTTCGGTGGATCGAACGAAAGGTGACACGGTGCCCTTGGGCTCTCCCTCCACTCGGGGCCAGGCGCGGTGAAGCGTGGAAGAGGGGCACCATACGCCTAAAAGAACGCGTTAGTGTTCACTCATGAGTTGTTTTGACATGTTAGTGTCAATTTTCCGTTGACAAAAAGGATCAACGAGTCGGCCTGCGACTGGGCTTGGGATTTGAGTCGCTGCGAGCTGGTAGAGTGAGGTAGACCACCCTGTGTATATCAGTGGTGTGTTCAATCCTAGACCTATCCATGCATGGAATAGTTACTTACATAAGTTACGAAAGTTAATGTGGTTTATATAATATATTTCATACACTGGATGGTCTGGGACTTGACTTAGAGTCAGTTTGGTGTTTGCAATGTCTTTTTACCACCGGCCGTCACTGAAAAGGGTCAAACCGAGCCAAAAACTTTGAGGAGGGTAAGCATTGCCATGTTTGCCTTGTTGATGCTCGTTTGCACCACCATCTTCTGCTCCGGATTGCTTTTTGGAGGGACCAGCAGAAGGAAGTCCAATCCCCTTGCACGGCTGGCAAGGTTGGTGCTTTCACACTGCTACCAAGACGACCCTTGGAGCCGGACGACGGTCCGGACCGCCGGACGACGGACCTCTCCCGGTGGAGCCGGGGAGGTGAGACCTGCTGGTGTGACTCGTGCTGGTGATGCAGCTGGGATCCCCACCAGAGTCATGATTCTCCTTGTGGATCCGGTCATAGCAGCAACCAGTGGTTCAAACCGACCTATAGAAGTCCTGGTTCCTTATAGTGGTATGTGGGATCCTTGGGGTCAGTTTCTTTTTGGCTTTGGGAGGTTAGTGGACAATTCATCCCAACATATTCCTAACTGTTTGATGAACCAATACGCCGTTTGTCCAGTGTTTTGTGGAGAACCTGGCCCTCCATAGCGTTTTTTTGCCGAACCACCATTGTTTAACTAAAGATTTTTCTCTACAACACCAAAGTCCACTATTCTTAAAGGGTCAAGCAGGCTTCCAGAGTTTCAGATCGAACGACCTTGAAATCCCACTGAGCCGATCGAGCGACAGCACCGGTGCTCCAGGCAGCGTGCTGACCCGTGGCGAAGCCATGGCGGGAAATGTCTTGGGTGCTTTGAAAGCACGCCGAGGCCGGGGGTCGGACATGGCGAGAGAGAGAGAGAGAGAAACGAAGAGCGAGAGAGGCGGAGAAGAGGAAGGAAGAGCCACCGGCGCTTGGACTTATGAGTCTTGGGATACTTGTCTTTGGCCAAAGTAACAACCTGGCAAATACGTTGAACAAGCTACATAATATGTTGTTTCCCACTTGGACCACAAAACACCAAAAATACATCGGCATTCTGATTCTACAAACATGTGTGTTTAATCAAAGAGCACAGGTCGAAGTCGTACAGCAGTGTTCTGATCGTGGAATCCAGGTTGAAGGGAGTGCATCCCTTAATTGTTTGTTATTTTTTTAAACAAACATTAACTAATGTTTGTGTTATTACTATTTGTTTAAACGATAAGCACAATGACACAATGCAACTAAATTATGCTTGAAAACGCCAGCCACTATAGATGATTTCTCGGAATGAACCTCCAGGTACGGTATCCAGGTACGGTGGGATCGTGTGAGCAGTGAAAGCAATGGTGCTTCACAGCTAAGAAGCCAGCAGCAGGCGATAGAAGCCTGGGTGGTTTTTGAGCTCCCCCACTTCGGACCTCGATTCAACCCTCGCCTCGTCACTGGTCAAATCGCCTCCCGAGGCGAATCTGAAGCCTTGCTTTTGGACTTGGATATCCGCGAGCTACTGCGACGGAGCGAGGGTGCCAATGCATGCACCGGCAACCCAAAAAGGAGCGTGCCCCGATCATATATCGATTGCTCCGTGCATGAAGCAATCCCGTTTGGAGGGACCAGGAAAGGCCTAAAATCTCATGGAGCACTTCGGCATCTCTTTTCCTCCGGGCTCCCCAATGGATCCGACCACGCTTCACGTCGGTTGATCACTTGACCAGAATTCTCCAACCGCCCGCGTTCTCGGTGGGCTGGGGGGAGGTTCTCGTGTGTGTGTGTGTGTGTCAACCCCTGGGCCAAGGGTTTGCTGCTGCCACTTCCACCA